GGTTAGTTAATCTTAGGAGAAATCTTTACAAGGATATATTTTAGGGCCAGTGGCAAAAGTACCACAGGGCAAAAGGAAATTGGTGTCCCCCATTCATTAGATTTTAAAATATTAACTTGTTAGAATTTCTATGAAATATTTTAAATTCTTAAAAAAAATTAAGCCGAAAGAATATGAGAATAAGCTAACTAAACCGGATTTAGGATAAGAATTTAAAGATGTTACATCTCTTAAATATAGTCTGTATTAATAGATTTTAAATGTAAACGAGGGTTCCCAGTTCAGTAGTATAGTTCTCAGTAATTACCAAAATATTTTATTGGACAATATTTTAGAATTTTGTTAAAAATTTCCAGTTTTTAAAATTTTTTTTTTAAAAATCATCATATAATTCAAAGAAAATATTGTAGAGTTTCATGATAAAAAATTGCATAGGCTGTTAAGAGAAACGCTGTTTTATATTTACCATAATTTTGAAAAGTCGTTAAAATTCCAAATATTTTTCGCGAAACTGAAATTATTTCGTTTTCTTCGTGTTATTATTACGTTCAGGCCGATACAGTCTTCAGATTTCTTCAGGTATGTAGTTCGGTCTGCTTTCCTCAACTTTGTAGCTATATCCACGACGTTTCAACTGTTGTACGCTTCGGCCTTCTTCAGGTGATTGAAATTTCGTACTGAACTCTTTATTTCATCCACTGGGGTAGATTGTTCTAGTTTTGTCCACAGGTGTCATCTACATATCTCAGCCATATTGTTGGCTTTAGCGATGTGGATTCTAATGCCATTTTTTTCGAAGTATTCAATGTATATGTTTACCATCGCTGGTGATAATGGTGAACTCCTTGCTAAGTCATCATCCTGTCGATATATATCTGATCCCATCGATGGTTCGAGCACGCAGCTCGACGCCCGGAGGATAGAGCTCATCCGCGATGTACTTCTCCCTCCTTCTCTTGCTGGCTGGCGAAAACGAGTCGGTGGGCAGCTGAGGACGACCTAGCAGTACTATCGGGTCCACAAGTAGTTGGTCTTCGACGATGGAATCGCGATTGGCTCGCCATTTCGTGTGACCTGGCTCAGAATCGGCGAGCGTGGGCAGAGATGGTCCGTGATGCTGTACTTGCTCGGGAGGAAGCCGGCTCAACCCGACCAGGGTGAAAACCGATACAAGTCAAGTCCATCGCGTCACTAAAGCCAACCCTATGATTGAGATACGTAAATGATACCTTCATACTCTGGCCACACCAGGAAGAGGTCCAGCTACTACTGCGCCATGTGAACTCAGTAAGATCATCGATACAATGGAGATAGAAAATGACAACAAATTCGCATTCCTGGATGTACTAATATCTCAAACAGAGCATGGGTTCAAGACATCCGTATACTGCAAGCCAATATTCACTGGACAATACCTTAACTTCAACTCATTACTCATACCGTGTAAAGAAACTACTTACAACATCGAGCGACACAGAGACATATGAACAAGAAATGTCCAATATAAGCAGTGCTTTACAACGTAACAACTACCCTGGGTATATAGCAGCAGCTGCAACAAACTAGGATAAAAGGGTAGAAGAGGATAACACTCAGAATACAGCTTCGGTTTGCCTACCTTATGTGAATTGATTATTAGAAAAAATACAAAAAGGACAACTTTCAAAAGTGGTTCAACACTTCGCAGACACCTCTTCCGAGTAAGAACCCTTATAGAAGAGAACATGACTAAGAACTGTGTATACACCATCCCGTGAAGGTGTGGTAAGAAATATAAAGGAGAAACAGGCCGCCCCGTTAAGGTAAAACTGTAAGAATATCGTAAAGCCGTAACACGAGGAGAAATAGAAAAATCAGGCATAGCTGACCACATATGATGGGAAAAGGGAGATCACCGCCCCCTGTGAGATGAGGTTGAAATAACATCACTGGAAAATACGATAACTTAAGGAATCAGCGCATATGCTAGGCCACAAAAATCTAAGTCAGCCAAGCAAAGAAATTAATACAATATTGAAACCAGTAATACAGAGTGCTAGAGAAAAGCAATAACAACTAAAATTGCAATAGGGGCTCTGATAAAAAATGGTTACTGGAATATTAAGTTTATAAGTCCCTAAAATTCATACACTGATTACTGCAAGGACAGATTTTTTTGGATCCAGTAACTTGAACCAAAGAGTTTTGAATTCAATACCTTGCTATTAAAGTGGTGAACAAAAACTTGGAGAGTTGAGTGTGAGATATCCGGAAGAGGTATGGCACGAGGAATGAGAACAATCTACACCAGTAGACGAAAAAAAAAAAAAAAAAAGGGTTCAGTTTGAAATTCTAACCACTTGAAGAAAACCGGAGCGTGGAATGGCCGAAGCGTTGTGAATATGGCAACAAAGAGGACAACAGTCTGAACAATGGAAATATTGTAAATAATTACAATACCTCATCTCAGAAATATAGACAGATCATGAAACAATAGTCAACCAAATTAACCTCGCTAATCATTGTTGATTATCACAGTTTGACTGGTCCAAAACTAAGAAACATTCATAGAAAAAGGTTTTGTTTGAGTAATTCTGAATCAGATACATGAAAAGAATGATCAGATAGGAATTAGAAAAGCCGTTTCAATAATTTTTAAAAAGAATTCTTTAAAATGTTTTCAACTTCAGTTGAAAAAAAGATTTGTCATCAAATACATACAAGTGAAAAACCCATGAATATAAAAATGGTGTGATTTTCTTTTACAAAAATCATTATTATGAAAAGAAATACTTTTCTTGTTAAAATAATATCCTTTGTAAGATAATACGAGCGGCTGACAGATAAGCTTTAAAATTCTATAGAAGGAAGTAAAAAATTGGTTGTTTTTCTTGGTTTGATTAGTGACTGAAATAGTCGTTGAGGTTCAAAGTTTGGTGAACATCATAATTTTCAATGTTAGTCTTAAAAGTGAAGCACATTAACTTAAAGGTATTTACAGCACAGAAAGTTATTGGCGGTTAGTGCATTTCTTTGATACTAAAATCTTACAGGCCTGTATATAACTATATATCTATTTCGTTAAATTTCAGTGGATTTACAAGGCAAAGTATTTTCTTTTATGTTTAATGAATAATCCAGTTAATTCAATCTTACTTTACCCCTTTTGGGTTATGGTGATATTCTTGTCACTGTAGACATTATTTGCAATTGCAAGTATCTTTATAGATGAAAGTATAGGACTGTTAAATCGAAAATATCGAGGAGCAAAAGGATTAAGACAATCAGACTCTTCTGTGACTAATAGAATTAGGGCAAGTTTTTTTTTTTTTAAATTACCGACTTCCCCAGAGTTTATTAAAACCATCCGTTCATTAATTTCCCATGTTCTTACCTTTTAAATGATTTTCCTACCCCCTTTTATTAAGATTTTCCCTAGTATTAGGCATCCAAGAACAAGTCATTCTGATACAGCAGCAGCAGACAAAGATTTTTGTGATTTAGCTATACTTATGTTTTCAACAATTGAACATTTTGTTCATAAAGATAAAATCTTTAATAACATGAAAAGTTTTCAGTAGAGATTATCAGTGTTTTCATATATATATATATATATATATAATCTACAACATTCTTTGCTATACAAATAGCTAAGTGAACATATTTAGAGTAATAATTATTAGATAAGTAAAAATGTTTTTCAACACTGTATCCAGGCTATATTTTTCGTAAAAGAGCGCTGGAAATTTTTCAAACACCTAACATCTAATGTATTGGTAAATAATGTATTCAGCAGTTAAAAGACTAAGTTCAAGTCAGGTTCGTGTCTGTCAAAATAAATAAGCTCTGTTCATGCTGATCCCAAAAACACACATACACCAAAGCGACACTTTGAAATGTTCCGTCTGAGTTTTTATTTTATTTTTAGACGAGATATTGTTGGGTCAGAGGAGGATAGTTGCAAGCGCTCGAAAGTTAAAAAAACAAAACAAAACAAAACAAAACAAAAAAACAAAAACAAAAAAAAACAGATGTGATGTATGTATGAGGGTGGATGCGTATGTCATGAAAGTTCGACCATTTCAAAATACAACAGACAACTGAGGAAAGCCAACAGTCAGAAGTGAGACAAAAAAAAAAAAAAAATGAAAAAGAAAAACAGCGTAGCTCGTATGACTCAAAATAAATTTAAATGTTTTCAGTGAGACAAATATACGTAAGCCACAAGTGCATAACCTCGTCACACAAGTCTGATTAAAACAAATTTACATGAATCAAACTGTCAACAGGACTTATGATGATGCGGTTTTTTTTCGATTAAAATCTATTTAAAGTTCCTCGTAATCATATGACAGAAAAAGTCTATTTACAAGGCTGTTCAGAGTTCAAGAAATTCAACGAGATTTTATTTCCATTTGGGAAGCGGGAAAAGAAGAAGAAGAAAAAAGAACATAGCACAGCAGAAAAGCGTTAGTTTTGATGAAAAACTGTCAAGGAGGTCTTTAAAATTGATTTTCTGCTCTCGAATGGAGGAGAAGCACAAATTTGGGGTGACATTGTCAGTGAAGAGTGTTTGTTTAAAACGCGTACAGTGTTGTAAAATTGCTACAGTAGCATTTTATTCAACTATTGAAATTGATTAGCTAAGAGAAAATACGAGGGAAAAATAAAATATATAAACATATACTTTTAATTTAGTTTTATAAAGTCTAAGCAGCGGTTTTGAGCCAATTAGAGATCGGGGATTTGAACTATGTATTTATTGAACCATATTTGAAAGTAATCAGCATAAATCTGATCATATTTAATCTAAATATAAGTGGAAGCACAACATTTGAATAAAAAGGATTCATTTTAGCTAATGGACACAAAGTAAGGGCCAAATTTAGTATATACAGACTTACACTGTAAATCTAACATCTTAAAAAACCTAAACTTTGAATTTTCACAAAAGAAAAGAAAAAAAACAAAAAGAAACAAAAAAATGGAAGAAGAAACAAAAAAAAAGGAAAAGAAAAAACAAAAAAAAGAAGAAGAAGAAAAACAAAGAAGGAAGAAGAAGAAAAAAAAGGAAGAAGAAGAAACAAAAAAAAAAGGAAGAAGAAGAAACAAAAAAAAAAGGAAGAAGAAGAAACAAAAAAAGGAAGAAGAAGAAACAAAAGAAGGAAGAAGAAGAAACAAAAGAAGGAAGAAGAAGAAGAAGAAACAAAAAAAGAAGAAGAAGAAGAAGAAGAAAAGAAGAAGAAGAAAAAAGAAGAAGAAGAAGAAAAAACAAAAAGGAAGAAGAAGAAGAAGAAGAAACAAAAGAAGGAAGAAGAAGAAGAAGAAACAAACAAAAGAAGGAAGAAGAAGAAAAGAAAAAAAAGAAGGAAGAAGAAGAAGAAACAAAAAAGAAGAAGAAGAAGAAGAAAAAAGAAAAGAAGAAGAAGAAGAAGAAGAAGAAACAAAAGAAGGAAGAAGAAGAAGAAGAAACAAAAGAAGGAAGAAGAAGAAGAAGAAGAAACAAAAGAAGGAAGAAGAAGAAGAAGAAACAAAAGAAGGAAGAAGAAGAAGAAGAAACAAAAGAAGGAAGAAGAAGAAGAAGAAACAAAAGAAGGAAGAAGAAAAAAACCCAGCAAACATCAATACTCCAGTGTCTTATGTGTAAGATACTGGAGTATAGCCTTCCTGGAGTTATGCGATGGTAGACAGGCCAAATAAATAAATAAAAATAAAATAATAAAAAAGAATTTGGCTAATTATCGTAAGATAATATTCCTATGTCAGAGAGTATTGCTTGCAATAATTTATAACTTCTGACTACTCATTTTAATACAAAAATTGAATGCCGACATTTGCTAACGTAAATTTTAGAAAAAAAGATTCACAAATTCGGTGACTGTTGGAACTGCTAGGTAACCATGACATTTAGAAAGGGTATTAGAATAATGTAGAACCAAGACTGGTAGCAAACTGCATCCGAATAGAAAATGAATTCAGTAAGTATACAAAAATAGAAAGGGTGTCAGACAATGTTTCTTCTCACCGGACTTATTCCAGCTACAAAGGGAGGCGATTCTGGGAAAATTAGAAGTCTTACCAGAATTCATTACTAACGGCCATAATCTTAACATAACGTCGGGATAGCGAAAGTTGCCTTTCAAAAATCTTAGCAAATTGTTAAGAAACAGGAAAATTTCGTTGGAAACAAAGAAAAGAGTACGGAGCTGTTCCGTAATATCAGTCCTCCTACATGGCAGTGAATGCTGGACAATCTCCTCCCAGATGAAGAAACGAAGCAACAGAAATGTAGTTCTACAGAAGAATGCTGACAATACAATAGACCGAACATGTGAGTATCGAAGAAGTTTTTGAGAAAATGGAAACAAAAAGTACACTTATACTTAGCACTAGGAAGAGAGTTGAAATTCCTAGGGTACATGATGAGGAAAGAAGGCGTGGAAAATTTGATACTCACAGGACATATTGAAAGCAAGAGGAAAACAACGCATTGTGTAAATAGGTGGCAGAAGATAGGAGAGATAACAACAGGACAGTATTTTTAAGAGCTACAAAAGACAGGAAATTGTGGAGAGCCATGATCTCTAACGTCCTGAAGGGACACGGCACGTAGAAGAAAAAGAAGGTGATTTTATAATAATTAATTCAGAGTTTGCGAACGATTTTAACCATTTATTTTGATAAAATAACATAGCTTAAAAGTAATAGAAAATGTGCAGCTAACAAAACAAAAATATTCGACATTTTATATTATTATTTTATTCCCTGTATTTGTTTACCCACTAAATATACACACGAAATGTAGGCGCCTGCAAATTTTCTAGGTATGCTTATACAGTTTGTTGTATTTAATAATGACAGTCAACAAAAATGTCCACTTATCTCCTTAATAATTTCTATTCGTAATAAAAAAAATAGAACAGGTTACATTGTTAGATAATTCATAGATGATTAGATCCTTATAAATATGGGACTACTCTGTCGGAGAGGCCTACAATACATCATCTGCATCCCCTGAAGGGAGGTAACCTCCATCAAAAGAGGACACCCACCAAGTAAATGCTCAGAGGTACTAATATAATGTAAATATTTGACGAATGGAGTGCTCATAGACTCAAATCAAATAAACAAAATAAATAAATAAATAAATAAATAAGGGTTATTTACATTGATTGGACTGTTGGCCTCGTCTTTACTGTCACATTTACGAGGTTTCGGCCGTTGTACACACACATCTTCTTCAGGTGATATTTGCTGGAATTTCAAATGGAAACCTTTGTTTAATCCACGGGGGTAGATTGTTCTAATTTCACGTACCATGCCTTTGGATGTCTCAGCTTCACGTAATTCCTTTTGACCAGGGTTTGAACTTACAACTATTTGGGTCAAGTCTTTTTTTGAATCAACCAACCAACGCTTTTATCCACTTGGCTATGTGCCTCCAGACAATCTACCCTCGTGGACTAAAAGGGTTCGGTTCGAAATTCCAACAAATATCACCTGAAGAAGGCGAGAGCGTACAACGGTCGAAACGCCGTGAATGTGACAGTAAAAATGAGGACAACAACCCGAACACTGTAAATAGTTTTAAAAACCATATCTTAGAAATATAGACATATTAAAAATGGTCGATGTGCCATAAAATCAACCCACCTATAAATATGAGACCCAATGTTTCAGAAATATTTATCTTCCCTTTTCAGTTGTGCTTCTGGGTGAAAACGCGTTTCAGACTAAGTCAAGTATGCTGATTTAGAACCTTTATTCAGAATTGTCCAAGCACGTCATCTTTTCAGGAGATACACATATCATATTTCTGTTCAAGGTAAATATATTAATAGCATGTTAACATCCACTTAAGTTGGCGGTATGCGATTCACTCGTGTTAGTTGCACAGAACTTAGGTCTGAACTGTAAACTATGCGGTTTTTATAAGCAACATATTAAGAGCGGATCAAATAATGGGTTGGCAGATGTCTTAAAATAAGCTTCTTGTAGTATGATCTATTTTTTCTAACGAATCTGGGAGCCGACAATGATGAGAATGGTCAGATGCTCCGTCCGGACATTTTTTTTCTAATCATTTCACCCCAGGCAGGGCAATAAAGCCACCAAGACTCACGAGGTTACAGAGAGTGAAAGAAAATGAGAAAACGTTTGGAAGGAGAAAGGACAATAAAAAAAAGGAACCTTCAAGAGACAGAAGAAGGCGATTGACGATGCATTTAAATTTTTGAAGATCGTAGTTGACAGGAAAGCGAGAAGCCGGAAGAAAGCTTCACAAGCGAGAAGGGCGAGAGAAGAAACTATTGAAATAGAACTTACGGTTACATGTAGCTATTGCAATAGTAAAATGATGAGAACGAGCTGCCAGTCTCGTACTACGCTTAATTTCATGAAGTCGTGGTACCAAAAGGAAAAGCTCACCGGAACAGTTACCATGGAGGTATTTATAAAAAAAGGCACAGAGAAGCTACGTTTCGCCGGTGGGTAAATAACTAAGGCCGAGATGCTAGGTCTGGACCAATAATATTGCAGATTTTTTGGATTTTGTAAAAACGGATTTGTCTTTTACTGCTTATCAACCTTTTGCAGGTTATTTGAAGCAACAAAATACTTTTAGATTGTAAGAACACTTTTTCGAGATAATAATTTACTGATACAAGCCCTACTAATTAACCCATAGTTGGGGGAGAAGAGGTAGATTCATACCTTTCCCAGGAGTATTTGCGCGTAAGTAAATAAAATAAACCAGACTGGAATTGGAATTCGGTTTTCCCATTTCCAGTACAGAGCCGTTATCCATTACACGATCGCATAGTTTAGGGCATCTGGTATTCCCAAGAGTTCACACATCTAGGTACTGACCAAAGTCGATGTTTCTTAATTTCTGTGGCTGCACGAGAAGCGGCGTTTCAACCTGATATAGCCATAAGCCGATTTTGTCAAGAATCTCGAGACATATTGCAGCAGCATAAGTCTAGATATGGTAGCAATGTTCAATACAGGTAATACTAGTGGTTACCATATAAACGCCCAAGATGGATTTTGCCGAGAAAAAACGGTCTGGAACGACACAGTGAACCGACTTTCCTAGCAGCAGACCTCCGAGATAAAATAGATGTATCAAAGCCAGATTAACCCCAAAATGACGAATAACTTATAGTTCCAATAACGGGAGATAAGCTCAACGCAGAAGTGCAAATTTCTCAAATATTTTTAAAGATCTCAGAAAATTAGTACTTTATTACCTCATCACCTCATTGTTAACTAAATTTTCATTGAACACTGATGTACCATTTACTAATAAACTACAGCCTGGTCCCAAGATGAATTTATGTTTATATGGAATTAATTATTAATGTAAATTTAACTTCAACATCTGTCTATATTTCTGAGATAAGGTATTGTAACTATTTTTACCGTTCGGACTATTTTTCTTATCTTTATTGCCATATTCACGACTTTTTAGCTGTTGTACGCTTCGGCCTTCTTCAGATAATATACGTTGGAATTTCGAACCGCATCATTTAGTTCACGAGGGTAGATTGTTCTAATTCCACGTGCCATGCCTTTTTTGGATATCTCCGTTTCAGTTAATTTCCCTTAATAGCTAAACTCTCCAAGTTTTTGTTCTGTCTGTTGTGGCCAGGTACTGAACTCTCAACTCTTTGGGAAAAGTCACATTTTGAATTACTTCAATCAACGCTTGATGCAAATAGTGTAAATAAACTTAAGTCGTTTAAACCTTAACTGATTTCATAATTATTTCTAGTTATAAAATTACCTAGAGTTGATAGTTCAATCCCTGGCCAGAATAGAGGAAAAAAAGTTTCAAGGTGTGAGTTACTAAAAGGAATTAACTGAAACTGAGATACAGAAAAGGCATGGTATGTGGAACTAGAATAATCTATCCCCGTGAAGCAAAAGTGTTTGGTTCGAAATTCCAACGTAAATCAACTGAAGAAGGCCGGGGCGTACAGCGGCTGAAACGTCGTGAATATGGCAATAAAAATGAGGACAACAGCCTGAATGTTGTAAACCGTGTAATTGTTTGAACCGTTACTGATTCCATAATTATTTCTCGTTATAAAATTATTTAGATTTTGGAAGTAATTTGTGATATCTGATTAGATGCTCGTGAATAACCATTGCTCTCACTGCTAGAGTAAGGGTCAGGGCAAATTAATCTCTTGAGATTTTTTTACAGTAATATTCCCCCTGTACAAGGCCCGGGGGTCACTCAAGGTAGAGTATTACGTTAAGTTATAGTTTATATGGATAGGAAGCGAAGGTAACGGCTGACTCTAGACTTGGAACTGGTTGAGATTGTAGAGATCGGGAAAAATCCTCTTGGGACTAAGTCCCACAGTCCAGTGGTTCGCGGGAAGAAGCTGTTTGAGTGGAATTACTTCTCGCCAATTGAATACGTGGGGAATGGGGGTGGTTTGCTTCTATGTAAGTGGTAAGGCGGGTCCTAATCGTGAAGGTTAGACCTAGCGGAAGCAAGAAATGTAGTTCGTCCGAGCACTTTCCATGGTAGTAGCGATAGAACAGTGAGAGATTCGCCATATATATATATATATATATATATATATATATATATATATATATATATATAT